TATTTGCTCACTGCCAACCTGAAATCTCCAACCACTGCCTCAATCTGAAGACTGCTTCACCCATATGTTCCCAAGATGGGCCCCTCTTCTTCCAGAATAGAGCTTTTCCACAGACCACATCAATCACATCATCTCTGGGGCTCATTGTAACACACAGCCTACACCTTTCACCCTAACCTGCGCATGGGTCATGGTCACTGATGGTAACTGGGCTCTTAGGTCAGTCTCCTCTTCCCAAACAGGATACAAGCTCCCTGTTGTGGAGTCAGTTCTGACTCATAACGACCCTGCACAGGGTTTCCAAGGCTGCAAACAGCTGGTAGTTTCGAACCAGAGATCCTTACAAGCTCCCTACAAAGAGTGAATGGGTCCCTTTTCCTGCTGCCTCCCTTTACTGGTCTCAGCAGTCCCTCAGAAGACTGGAGGACTGCTCTCTCTGTAAAGGGAGCTCCATGCAGCTTGGTTTTCACCTTGGTCTCAACATAACCTTAGAGAGCCAGCTGCTTTTCTCCCTCAACATCTGCTGTCCAGGCCACAACCCTGTTCTTTGGCAATCTTAACACTTCATCCTCTTTCACACTTCCTCCTCCTTCCTCAAGGCAACTGCCCCATCATTGATCTCCACATCCACCATGGAGTGTTCCAGTTTTATCATGTGTAGAATTCCTCAGGTCTGGAAGACATTTAACCATACCTTGCCTGGGGCTTTCCAGGGCTACAACTTTGGTATCCTTGCCTAGACAGGAAGTTCTTCATAGACCCAGGCCTTTCTCTGCTGATTTAGTGTATCTGGATAGGAGGAAGAATAGCAGAGTGGTGATGCATCCAAACCAAGCATCCCTAAGCTGCTTGGGTGTATTCTGGGTCACGGTCACACTCCCAGGTCCGATCCACTTCTGATAGCGTATCTGCCTCAGGCCATGAAGCTCCCCATCCCTGAGCCCAAATAAGTCAAGCGTGTGTCATTTCTACCTTGAGCACCTCCAGTTACTGATCTGTACTTGGGAGAGACTAGAGAGGAAGAGGGACAGATGGCAGTATCCCTACCCTCCACAAGTTCACAATCTAACCCAGGAGGGAAAATTCAAAAGCAAGAAAGCCAGAGCATGCCCAGGGTTGTGCCATGAGATTCAGTTTGTGTCACATGAAGAGACACTGAGCAAAAAGGGGGCTTCCTTTTTGAAAGAAAAGACAGAGGGAGAAAAGGGAAGTCAGAGCCAGAGCAATGGCAAGGCATAAATACCTAAAGGCCTGGTCCAAAGCCCTCGCAAAGATGAATCAGCAGCAAAATGCAACCTCAAACTCAGAGAAAAGATGAAAAACAGTAGTTCCCACTTCCCTCTTCCATTTGCTGGCCTTTTTCTTCTTTGTGGATGGAATAATTGTGGCCATGAAGTGGCACTTGAAGAAAAACTTTTAAATCTGTTTAAATGTCACAGTGAGTAATACTTTGCCCCCATCTCTCCCTAATTACATTTCTCTTTGATGATCTAAGATGAAAAAAAATGAACTCAAGTCTTCCTAGAATATCAAGGGCAAGAATACCAAAGAGTCAACCTAATCACACTCGGTTCTATTTTCTGAGGGGTCTTGCATTCATTTGAGACACCTGTCTGTGGTATTTTATCCCCGACACTCTGGCAGTGTTCAAGAGGTGGAAACCTCAGAGATGCAGCTAGCTCTGTGCCTTTAAGAATCAATGCCTTGGCGTAGCTGCTTCTGCTGCTGTTTACACAGGGTAACTCAGTTATGACAGGGCCTAGTGATCTGGCGGCTTCTGCCCCAGCATGCTGGGGGAGGGGTGGCATTTCACTGTACACCTACCAGAAAGCTGAGTGAGGGTCCTGCTACCCCCTATGAAGTGAGAGCCCAAATCTAAAACAAGCCCTCAACAGGGGAGCTAGAAGGGAGGGTGAGGACTCATCCCCTAAGGGACAAGTTGCTCTCTGGGCAGTTTTGGGTCCACAAGTGGAGAAACACAGGGAGGGGCCTTGGTGCTCTGAGCAGTGGAGCTGGCCTGGAGGGAGCTGACTCCACACTGTATGGAGTTTTTTGTAAGCATCTGAAATAATGGATACCCCCTTTCCTTTACAACCCCATGCCCCCCTCACTCCCGCCTAGGGACTGCTTTCATTTATGTATTGACTATTCTTATTAATAAAAATATGAATAATTAAACACCTGTGAATAATTTACTGGGACCTGGGAGTGGCTGGAGGGGGTGGCAGGAAGAAGTGGAGAGTGAACCTCTATTGCCCAGTCCCTTCCTGTCCCTCCTCCCTTTGGCTTACTCCCTTCACTTTCTATTGTCACCACTTCGTTCATGAGGTGGGGGGGGGGGGGCTATGATGGGGAAAGTAGACAAGAGAGAAAGACTCACGGATAGTTCTTTTAAACGTTTCTGTTATGGTAGAAAATGCATTCCTCCCAGCTGTGAGATCCTGGGAGACAAGCACCAGGGACACAGGATGATACTTGAGATATTCTGATCAAAGTTACTGACCTTTACTGATATGTGCTGGTGCCCTCTCAGCTAGGTGTGTGTGTGTGTGTGTGTGTGTGTGTGTGCGTGTGCGCGCGCGCGCGCGCGCTCGCGTGCATATACACACACAGAGAGAGAGAGAGAGAGAAAAGAATGTGGACACAAATAGGGTCAGTGCACATCCACACTTCGTCCACATAAGCACCTACAGTCAAAACAAGACATACACTCAGGCCTCCAATGCACACACACAAGCCCTCCTTGTAGTTACCAGGGACATAGCCATCTTACCAGAGTACTTCACAGGCATGCCAAACACATACCACACGAAACGGGTTCTAGGTGTGAGTTTCTGATCAATTCTATTAATTTGAGTGATTCTTACACCGTAATATAACTGGACAATATAAGGCCATGCAGTCGAATCAATTATACTTACACATGATTCCATCAAGCCAAGGCTGGTGAAGCTAAAATGAATGGAGAAAGTTCCGTGGTTCCCAGAACTGTTACTTGCTGTTTGTTTGGGGCCTCAAATCCTGGGGAAGTGGCTTTCCTGCAGGCTTGGGTTTTGGGTTGTGGACATCGGGGCCTGGGGCATCCTCTGGTGTTGCCTCCACCAGGAGAGCTCTCTTTGTGGTTTTGCCAAACCGTCTTGGCCTAGGTTTTTCAGGCATCTGGGGCCTTCTTAAAATAAAATTTCTAACAGGGTCTAATAACGTGATGTAATTTGGGGGCAAAAAAAGTGAAACCCTGAACCCTCCCCCCACCCCCCACGAAAAGTGGCCAACCGAGCCCCAGCCAGATTGGGCAGCCCTCTGGGGAGCGGGCGCGGTATTTTAATTTGTCCGGTTTCTGAAACTGACAAGAGGCCATCCTGGAAAAGCCAATGTAGATGCTAGGATGGAGGTAAATGCCATTAAAATGAAAATTGGATTCCCCACCACAAGTTCCCCATCAGCCTTCGCCGACTCCCGCGCCAGCCACTCCCTCTCCCATGAAGCGATTCTCCAACCCCGGCAGAGTCCAAGAGAGGCTACCGGACCCTGGGCTCTCGCCCACCAACACGCTTCCCCGCCTCGCACCTCTGGAGCCTGGGGCACAGCCAAAGCACCCCGCGGGGGCTGCACAGGTTGTGCGAGTCCGATCGCAGCCCAGGATCGAGATTCGGGGTCTTTATTTCTTGGATGGTAGATTTAAAAAGCAAGACAGAAAAATCAATTTGAACCAGGAAAGCAAAAACAAGTCGGTCTCTCGCGCTGGCTCTCCGGTCACCGCGCCCAGCGCCTTCCTCCCTCCCAGGCGGGCGCGGCGGCCGGGACGCCGGGCTCCTGATTTCCTACCGCGCTGGCCCTCCCTGCCGGCCACCGGCCGGCCCCGCCGCTGCCCTCCAGGGCGGGGTAGGCCGGCCGGTACGGAAACTCCTACCTCCCGCCTTCGCGGGCGGACTAGGGAGAGGGTCGCGCCCCGCAGCTCAACGCCCAGTTCCCCCTGACGCTGCCCGACCGCTCCCCAACCCAGTTGTCCCAGGTGGCTCGTGTGGCAGTGGCTGCCGGGAGGGAGGGCGAAGATTTGGGGCTGGGCTGATAGGTTGGGGATGCGAGGAAGGAAAAAGCAGAAAGAGAGAGAGAGAGAGAGAGAGAGCTCTTGTCTATAGATTTATCCACATAATATATATTTATGTCGCCTTTTTTTTCTCCCGACACTGATCAATGCGCACTCGGATCGCTGGGCGAACTCCCTCCAAGCCAGCTCGCGTTTTCGAGTCTAAACAAATAAATAAGTGGAGCCAGATGGGAGAGCTACGCGCCCCTTCCACCTCCGCCGCCGCCTGCGCCGCCGCCCCGCCCTCCGTTCCTGCCTGGGCTTTGCCCGCTCGGCGCCCAGATAGAGCGCGGCTCGGCGGAGAACGCCCCCCTCCAGCCGCACACGAAAAGGAAAATCACTATTTTTAAAATACAAAAAGTTGCACCTGCTGCTATTGCAAAAAAGAACCCCGAAAGGCAAAGAGAAGAGGCCGGCAGCCCGGTTCTTAACAGGCACCCGCTCCCTGCGGCCGCCGGGCCCCGGAATCTCAGCGCCTCCCAAAGAGCCATGCGCCTGGCGCTATTTATAGCCGGGGGCCGTCTCGGACCGTACCACCGCGGAGTAGCGGGGCCGCCAACGGGGGAGGCGCGGCGGACCGGC